ATATGGTATCTCTTGAAATGGTTGAACATTAACCATTTCCTTTTGCACTGTATACAAATGCTAAAAGAAGTATTTTGTGCTTAGAAGGAAAATGAAACCAGATAAAAATATGGATCTACACAAAGTAATGAAGAACACGAGAAAGTGGAAATACATGGACACACACAATATGCTTGCTTGTTTTCTTATTTAAATCTTGTTGAGGTAATACACTTTAAATAAAAATAACAACAATGTAGTGTGGGGCTTATATAGAAGGAAAATATATGACAACAATAACACAAAGGCCAGGAAGGAAGAAATATCAAAAGTAAATAACCATGGCGGCCAGGGTGTAAAGACTGAAAAAACAGCCTGAGTGTTTAGTATAATTGCAGACCAGCTGAACTAACATTTAACGGTAACAACTTACCTCTGACCTTTTTGGTATGTGAGGGAGGAAAATCCTATTTATCTAAACAAAAAATCTATTTATTTGCCTTTGATTTTTCCATAATTTATAACCATGTTGTTGCTGTTAAGTGCCATCAAGTCAGTTTTGTCTCACAGCGACCCTGCATAGGATTTCTAAGGAGCGGCTGGTAAGTTTGAACTGCCAACCTTGTAGTTCAAACCAACCTTACAGTCCAGTGCATTAACCCTCAGCACTATACCAGGACTCCATTTATAACCATGGTGGTGGTGGTTATGTGCCATGGAGTGGGTTCTGACTCATAGCGACCCTGTATAGGGTTTCTGAACCACTGGTAGTTTAGAACTGCTGACCTTGAGATTAGCAGCCGGACTTGTAACCACTATACTACCAGAGCTCCTTATTTATAATCCTAAGTATATTTAACTGATATAATATCTATAGCACAGTCAACATCAGTAAAGGACCCCAATAAAATGGATTATCAATTGCCTTCAAGCTCTACAAATTCTTATGAGAATGCTGTGAGATGCAGACACTCACCCATGCTAGGTGTGGTTCCTCCCTCCACCAAACCAGAACATAACTCAATGCGACCAGCTCCTGTGGTAAAAACAGTGCTCAAAAATTAATTGTCCAAAATAAGTTCTTAATAAATAGCAACCTCTTTACATTTTTTCCAAATACAGAACAAAAGGTCTTAGAAATTATTTAAGAGGAGTTGAATTATAAAACCAGCCCAACTATATTCTGTGACCCACATTGTTACTGAGAGTAAAACTGAACTAGTCCCTTAAAACTTGCCTTTTCTTATGACCGGGAAGGTAGGCTTGCAGGATATACCCTTTGGTTGGCTGATGATGCATGGAGGGAATTGGAAACATGGCAATGAAACGATATACGATAGGATGAATGTAAAATAATGTTCTCCCATGTAAACTATCACATAATTCACAATAAAACATTTAAAATATAATGATGAAGTAGGCAACTCCAAAATACTTACCCTCAAATAACAGTGCAATTAAGCTGGAAAAAAAATTGCCTCTTCTTCAATAGAGAAGCAATTTAGAATAAAAGAGAACTCACTATATTGAACATAGTGGGTCTTTGACTCTTTGTTGGCAGAAAATATATTATCTGTTCCCAGGAAGTATTTATTATTCTAAATTTTCAGAAAAGGGTAAGTTACTTTAGTGTACCTTAACTCAAGATCATCGCCATAAGAAGAAAATGCTAAAAGTAAAAGAAGTACCAGTCTACTTTGGGTCCTGTCAAAAGGTTTTAGGAACCAACTTCCAGAAGCTCCTACTGGCTAAAGATGAGCTTTTTGAGCTCAATAAGAATAACTACAAAAGATTGTTGTTGTTGTTAAGTGCCATTGAGTCATTTCCAACTCATAGCGACCCAGTATAGGGTTTCCAAGGAGAGGCTGGTGAGTTTGAACCACCGACCTTGTGGTTCAAACTGGACTTGGGGTCGGTCCAGTGCTTATCCTACAGTGCCACACCAGGACTCATTGAAATATATCAAATATGGTATTTGCTTCAAAATAATCTGGGTTGAGAGGAGTAACAGTTAAGAACATAGATTAGGAGTCAGCAGACTGACCTGCAGGCCAGAGGCCCACTCACAGCTTGTTTACTTTAAGTCCTATAAGCTACAAATGCTTGTTCATTTTTTAAAAATAATAGCTTTCTTGAGATGTAATTCACATACCACACAATTCATTCTTTAAATTGCACAATTCAATTGTTTTTATTATATTCACAGAGTTGTGAATCAATACTACCACAATTGATTATGATTAATTGTGATAATTTTTATAGATAATTTACTTTCAAAAGATACCCTGAATCCTTTAGCAATTACTTCTCTGTTCCCTGTACCCCTCAAATGTAGGTAATTAGTATCTAGTTTGTCACCATAAATTTACCTATTCTGGTTAGTTCATATAAATGGACTACATAATATGTGGTATTCGAGCTCTGGTAGCATAGTGGTTACGAATCGGGCTGCAAGCCACAAGGTAAGCAGTTCGAAACTAGCAGCTGTTACATGGGAGAAAGATGAGGCTTTCTGCTCCCGTAAAGATTTACAGCCTCAGAAACCCTGTACTGGGTCGCTATGGGTCACAACTGACTCCACGGCACACAATCAAAACCAAATTCGGTAATGGACTTCTTTCACTTAGCATAATGGTTTCAAATTCATTATATTTGAATATTATTTTTCCACAACTTTTTGACGGTCCTTGTATATAGTATCTGGCTCTTTACAGAAAGCTTGTTGACCCTGATACAGTAAGGTCAAGATTGGCCACATGTTGAATTTGAATATACTCTATCTGCATTTTTATATATTTGAAAATGTTTATAATAAAAAGTTAAAAAAAAAAAAGTCCTGATACCGAGATGAAGGAAATCCCAATGCAAGCTCACAGTGCAAAAGAAACATTAAGATTAAACAAAGGATAATGTTTGGCACACACACTATGCTGAAAGTCCTGATGAACATGGCAACAAATCTTTTTACTGTTTTTCTTCTTAAGGCAGGTTTATTTCATAAAAGAAATATTTTCAAACAATACAAATGATACAATTAAAGAGAACAGTAACAAAGAGAAGAATACCGATTTCAGCAGTTATGGACCAAAACTGGGCAAATCGGTAACCAGGTTAAAGTGAAAATCAACTTTCCTTTCACACATAGTACTGTTTTTCTGAAATCTTTAAATAAATGGTTTCAAAAATCTTTGCTAAATTCAATAGAAAATGAAAATAGTGATTAAAATCACTATTTGAAGACACTTGGCTGAAAAGATCCACTAAGGGGCATATGTCTGTTAGGTGCTGCTGAGTCAGTTCCCACTCATCATAGAACCCTCATAGAACCCTCATATAACCCTCATAGAACCCTCATATAACACTCATAGAACCCTCATAGAACCCTCATAGAACCCCAAAATGAAACACAGCCTGGTCCTACACTATCCTCTAGAAGGCCCTACTTCCATCAGGTTTTCTGGTTGGTTGTTTTTGAAGGAGTAACTAGGAACCTCAGAGATCATAAGGGCTCCCAGGATCAGCTCATAGGATTCATTTTAAGACTTACAAGCATTGCCAACATTACTCATTCTCTAGTTTCTCTTACCTCCTCGTTCAGCATTCATAGCTGACTCCACAGAATCAACACACACTTCCATGAGAAATCCACTCTCGGCTCCTAAACCGCATGGAAAACAATGCAAATTCATAAAGGGACGATCCATCCAAAGCAATCTAACACATATCTTACATTCAGCTGATAAACCAAATGTCCAATAAAAAATAGGGAGGTAGATAAGCACACTAGAACCCAGGAATGCAAAAAAAATGCTATGTTAGTTATTAAACTGATCACTGTGAAATAGGTCCAAAGACATACAAAAGGACTTCAGAAAGTTTGTGGAAAATGGAATCAAAAGATAATGGAATTTTTACATGAACTTTTTGTTTCATATATGTAAGAGATAGAGAAAAATATACACTGCCAAATATTTCTAAAACACAAGCCTCCTCATCACATTCCAGCTCAGATTCCTTGAATGCTTCTCAATGCCTGCGAATATGTTTAAACTTCTTAATAAGGAATGTGTTTAAGAGCAGGGACTGAGTCCTACCACATATTTATTGTGTGATTGATCCTAGACAAATTCCCTAACCAACACTTCAGTTTTCTATTCAGTAGGGTAGGGTTTAGTACCTACCTCAGAGTAGTGAGAATTAAATGAAATAATTCATGTAAAGTACATGTTGATGTTGTTAAGTGTCATCGAGTCAATTCCGACTCATAGCGACCCTGAATAGGGTTACCACACCGGAACTCTTATAAAGCATATAGCACTCACTACATATTTTTATAATTAATAATAGCACAATATTTCTTCTATATGCTTCCATTGTCTACCCACCCAACTGCCACCTCTGCTTTGTTTATGCCATCTCCTCTACCCATAAAGTCTTTTCAGGTACATCGTTGAATGCTAAAATCTTTCTAGTCCACCATCTTGCTGCCTTTCTCGAATGCTAAAATCTTTCCAGGCTCACTTCAAATCACATTGCCATGATTTTCCCTTTCTCCCAAAGCACGAAATAATCTCTCCTTCTTTTGAATTCATGTAACTCTTCCTGAATTATGTTCCTCTTGAAAACACTAATTGTTCCTCTTTAATTCATGAATGACTGTCTACCTCTTATTATTTATGTACATAGGTGTCTGATCACTTCTTGTTAAGTGCCATCAAGTCAGTTCTGACTCATAGTGACCCTATATAGGGTTTCCAAGAAGTGGCTGGTGAGTTCGAACCACGAGCCTTATGGTTAGCAGTTCAGTGCTTATCCTACAGCACCATGTCAGGACTCCTACTTAACCTAAAGTTTTTTAAAAAGAGCCTTACATGAGAAACCTTTATTGTCACCCACGGTGAGCACAGTGTCTCATTATGAAGGCATATAACAGTCACTCAAATATTTACTAGAGGCTGAGTAATTACATATTCATATAAAGTGTCATGTTTTCATACTAAAAAGTGTGCTTGGTACAGTTTTATATTCTTTAGTAAGTTAAGCACATAATTATGTTTTAAAACTTAAGAACAGTGAATACACAATTGCATGCAATATACTTGAAAGGATGCGCACCACATACTAATAATGGTTACTACTAGGCGGTGGAATTCGTAATTTCTTTTACTTTCCTTTTTATAACTTCCTGTATTGCTTGAATTTTTCTACCCAATATTGTTTTTGTAATAAAAAGTCATTTTTAATTTGAAAAAAACAACAACAACAAAACTACCATCTGCTAGCATCAGCTTACCACTTTTCTCATTTAATTAAAAGAAGACAATCTGCCCCAAATTGTGAAAGAGTTAAGTGTCACTCTAAGCTCATAACCAACAGCATCCAGGAGCTTCCTGACCATCACACCAGCTGTCTGGTCAGCCTCGCTGGACCATTCACAGCACACAAAAAAGAACACTAGCCAGGAACGAGGTGGAGATGCACACAAAAGGCTACAACAGAAGGCAGAGTAAGCCAGTTGTCCTAAGAAAAGCCAAGTTATTTTATAGATCAAAGAAGGAAAAAACATTTGTTTGGAGCAGTAGTTCTCAATGTGTGGTAGTCCAATTAATTAGCTTTGCAGGGTCTCCAAACCACTTTCAGAGTCTGTGGGGTGGAAACTATTTTCATAACAATAAACCAAACCCAAACCATTGCTGGCCAGTTAATTCCAGCTCATGGTGACCAGTGTTTTACAGAGCAGAAATGCTCAATGGGGTTTTCTCGGTATAGAAGCAGATGGCCAGGAGCCAGGCCTTTTTTCTGTTGCTGCTTGGCTTCAAACAGTCGACCTTTAGATTAGCAGTTCAGGGCAAACCATTTGCCCCACTCAGGGACCTTTCACAATAATACTAAGACTTGATTTGCCTTTTTCACTCTTGTTCTCTGCAAGTGTTGAGTGACCTTTTCAGAGATTGAAAGCTTCGGAAACCCCATACAGGGCCGCTATAAGTAGAACGGACTCCGTGACATTTAACAGCAACATGACACGTCAGACTGAATGGACAAACAAATATGAGAGTCCAGCTATCTTCCCTTAAGCCAGAAATTAAAAAGATGTGCAAAAATATTGCCACTCTTCTCCATTTTGTTTTGGAAAAGCAAAACAAACACTTTTCATTAAATAACGGGGTTTTCTTTTTCAATGTTTACATGGCGTTGACAGTGGTTATTCTCTAACGAACTAACAATATTGTTTTAGATTCCTGAAATTTAATTTCTGATTCGATAGCTACAATCCACACAAATGAAAACTTTGAGGTCCTCAGTAAAATTTAGGAGGGTACAGTAATTCTTTTCTATACAGGGTCGCTATGAATCGGAACCGACTCGACGACACTTAACAACAACAACAAAGCAATTCTGAGACCAGTTTGTGAACCGCTAGTTTGGAGGAACCAAAAGTTCAGGGGGGAGGAGGAAGAATTTGTCAAATCCACGACCACCTGCCATCCTACTCCGGAGTTGGAGCGGCCAATCGGTAGCTGTGAGGCTTTGGGGTCGACCCCCAGACCCTGTGCTCAGCGCCTGACATTTAACTATCACCACGGGGCGACATCCTCCAGGGTCGCGCGACGGGGAAACATGAAGCCGAGAGAGGTAACCAGCGGAAACAGTACGCGGGGCGTCGGGATCCGACGTCAGGATCCAGAGCCGCGGGCCATTCACGTTTGCAGCTGGAATGGTAGCTGAGGAAACTTGCCAGGGAATCCACAGGTCCAGGACCCTCGCCGGCCCACCCCAGCGAGCCCAGGCAGCCGACCGTTCCCTCCCCGCCACCTTCCGCACCGGCCTTCCCCGTCGGTATCCGCGCCCGTTTCCGCTCGGAGGAACCCCTCTGCCTCTTCATGCTCGACGCGCTCCTCCCTCGCCTGTCTTTCGTTTGTTTCCACTCAGTCCTCGGTTCGGCGCGCGCGACCCAGGAAGCGCGTCCTCAACGGCTGCGCGCGATGCGGCGCAGCGCGTCCCCGATTTCCATGCCCCAGCAGGCCCCGCGAAGGAGTCCCCGCGCAGGCGCAGTCAATTGACCTGCAGCGAGCGAGCGGGCGGGCGCGAGTTTTGCGTGACCGGGAAGTGCTTCCACTTTTCGGTGGCAGAGAAAGGAGATCGTACAGCTTGGTGGCGGTGGCCTCCGCGCACTGCCTTCAGCATGCAACGGTTGCTCTGGCCGCCCTTGAAGGCCTTGACTGGACGTCCGTGTCTCCGGCTCCTGGTTCCTAGGACGGCGCCGAGAGCACAGGTACCTCCCGGCGCGGACTCTGGTGGCGGAAGCGGCAATGGAACTCCCGTCTCCTTATCTGCAGCTCCGCACAGTCTACAGAGATTTTCTGTGTCTAGAACCCTTGGTTCGGATCCGACCTTACCACTTGTTAGTTGTGTGATGTTGCCCAAGTTACTTTTCTGTGCCTCAATTTCCCCATCTATAAAATAGGAATCACATCTTTATGGTGAGATGATTAAATAATATAATTCACATCAGTACTAATGCTAATACACATTAGTACAAAGGACTCAGTAATTTTTACCTGAAACCTGATTTTTGCTAAAAATCACCGAGGTAGTCAGGGTGGGAACTAGAACCCCCCATTCTACAAGCAAGGAAATTGAGGCTTAATTGAACTGACTTCTGAAGTTACTCAGTTAATGAAAAGCAGAGGAGGAAATGGATGAAACATAGGACTGGGATACAGTCAAAAGAAGGTGTTTATTCATTCAGCTAATAATTAATAATTAATATGGCTTAGGAACTGGGAACAGAAATACGACAAGGTCCTAGGAGAAGATCACAGTTTATTCACGTACTAATTCATTTGTCAAGACTTTAAGCAGATCTTGATAGGTGAGGGCACTGGGCTATAAACACACATACAGAAAAAGCCAGACTGACCATACCCCGAGATAAAGTTTCTCTATATCACAGAGCTTACAGGTGCACCTGAGGGGGCTTCACAAAGTGTATTGAAAAATTCCACTATCTTTTAACTCCATTTTTCCACAAACTGTCTGATGCTTCCTTGGATTACAATGTGTTAAGGGCTGTGATGGGGTGCATCTGAGGGTATCCGATTCAGACTTGGAAGCAACTGGAAACACTTCCCAGAGGAGGTGGCATTTCAGCTGAGATCTGCAGTAGGAATTATCAGTCAAGGGACAAGGAGTGAAAGAAAGCCGGCAACCCGTAACCAGAGTTCAGAGTTAAAACTCGGGGGATGGATTGAAGTGAGGCAGGACCAGCGGGGAAACCAGCTGGGAGGTGGATGCAATCATCTGGATAAGAATGATGATTTACCAGAGAAATAGCGGGGAAATGTGGCCAAACAGGTGTGTCTATCCGTGGAGTGAGGCCTTTGCCTTTCTTCAGTTGTAATTTGTCTGTTTTGATCCTTAGCGTGGTTGCAGCTGTGGGATCAGGCGCTCTCTGAGGCCAGGGCAGTACAGCACCGTCTCTGAAGTTACTTTGCAATCTGGAAGGCATACGGTGGCCCTGCCCTCCAAGGCTGCTGAGCGAGTGGTGGGCCGATGGCTACTGATCTGCAGTGGAACAGTGGCTGGAGCAGTTATTCTTGGTGGAGTGACTAGGTGAGTAATCACTAGAACGTCAGCTGTTTGGTCATGCATAGAATTGCAGGATGCCTGAGCCAGAGAGGACCACATTTTACAGATGGAGAAACTGTTGCCCTAACAAGGAACATGTTTAATGGTTTGGCCAGCCATAAAGCAGTTTAAAGTTTGTCTTTATTTACATGTTTCTTTTTTTTTAATTGTTTGTTTAAATTAAATTAAGAGTAAGTTCTATATGTTACAATTAGTTTATGATATCTCTTTCAATCATAGGTTCTCTTGCTCCCTCTCCCTTACCCCTTTCCTGCACAGTCTCTCTCTGTCTGTCTCAGAGTTTTGTTGTTGTTGCAGAACTCCAAGTCATTTGTCTTACTGAGTGCCCCAAACTCTGTATTTTGCTGATTACAAACATGGTGGTGTTTAATGGGTCATATTTACTTCCATAGTCCTTGTTGATGGTAATTGCTTGATCAGATTTGAATTGGGGATGCAGTGGGGGCGTCCTTTACGGATGATGGTGTTTAGAACATTCATAATATCTGCTGTCTGTCAGAGCTGTCAGCAGCCATGGATGAGCATTGCCTAGAACAGTTACATCATTTTGTTGTTACTGAGTCGGCTTCCTCTCATGGTGACTCCATGTGCAGCAGGATGAAGTGGCCCAGCCCTGCACCGTCTTCATGGTCATTGGTGTGCTGAGTCCATTGTTGTAGCCATGGTGTAGTTTGAATGTCTTCCAACTTAGGAGGCTCGTCGCTCAGCCCTATAACAGACACTATTCTGTCGTGATTCATAGGGTTTCCACTGATGAATCTTTGGAAGTAGACCACCAGCTGTTTCTTCTTAGTCTGGAAGTGCCACTGAACCTGACCCTGAGTGACCCTGCTGGATTTAAAATACCAGTAGCATAGCTTCTAGCATCATAGCACAGTGACTGATGGATGGGGGGATTATCTCACTGGTATTGCAAATTGTAATGTAAATTTTATTAACTCTAAAGAAAATTTTCTCTGTATTAACTATCTGGTACAATTTATATAGGAAAGGCAAAATAAATATCTTGCTTCTTTTCTGTTATTTACTAATTTTCAAAATAATAAATTTGTTTCCTCCCATCTCGGCCCCTCTAAAGGTAATCAGTAAGGTGCTTGTGTTTCTGAGTATTATCTTTGGCCTTCAGTATGGAGACCAGATATGATTTCTTGGCCAGTGCCCCTCAAGCGCATTCACCGTCAGTGGACTTTTGCCTTTTGCTATGATGCTGACCCAGTTTCAGCAAAATGTCCAGAATAATATACACTAAGAAGAAAGGCCTGGTGATCTACTGAAAATCAGCCCATGAAAACCCTAGGATCATATTCTGTTGTACATGGGGTCATTAGGAATCGGGGCCAACTTGACGGCTGACAGTAATGAGTTTGAGTTCAGAGGTTGAAACAGATTTGATATGTTTTACAACTTTGCTGCAATGATGATGACGATTTGCCCAAATTGTTTCATTTTTAATCAGTGGGAACCTTTTGGCAGGACCCCAGTAACCTGTAGTAGCTTCCTTGCTTTCTGGTGTGATAAGTTGTTCCATACACATCTTATACATTTCCTGCCTCAGACCCAAAATCAGCCTTTTATTTTAGAAGCCCTAGCTCTTTTTCATAAAAATACCTTTGGTTTTACTGAAGCATGTGTTCCTCAAATTCTCCTCATAATCCCTGTGCCTTATTTCTTTGTTGTTGTTCTTAGTGCCATCGAGTGGGTTCGGACTCATAGTGACCATGTATAGGGTTTCTCAGGAGCACCTGAGGGGTTTGAACTGCTGACTTTGTGGTTCTCAGTCCAGTTCGGATCCTATTTACTTCTTTAGAATTTACCTTTTTATGTATTTTGTAGGCTCTGACAGATGTGAATTTTATTGTCTTAAATTCACTCAAGAAGCTAAACCTTTTTATATCTATAACAAATCTCTTTTCTTTGTGTAAAGGGTATTGGTTATGCATTTAGGAACCTTTCCTTTGGTCTAAAGGTTGTTTATGCCTGTCTAAGGAATGCTGTGAGAGAAACAAGTGGGGGAGTAGACAAAAGGATTGAATGAATAACAGGGTAAAGAAATTTGGATCGGATGACAGCTGTTTTTGACAAAATTCTCAGCAGTAAGAGGAGAGAAAAGAGTCAAAAGAGGAAACAATGAAATGATGTATTTACCTTTGGAGGGCTTAACTTCAGAACTACTTGCCATGACAGACACATACTCCAAAATTCTTTCCATCCGAAGGTTGACAGAGTCTGGCCTCTCGATGGTAGATTGGCATTTAATAAAGGAGATGAAGCCACCTGCAAGCCAAGAGGAATGGGAAGCAGAATTCCGAAAATACCAGCAGTTTCCAGAATTTAAAATGTGAGTATTGTATTAGAGAAAATGAAGTTAACACATCAGACTCGCTTGGTCTTTTGTAATTTAAATACTACAGAATGGTTAGATTCCTTTACTCCTTGACGTTTGGTTCCGTTCATTTTAGTGAGCTCCAAAGGTTACTGATGAGAAGCAGTACAACCCTACCAGATTGCATGATCAGGAGTATTCCTGCTGCGTACCCTAGGGAAATGAACATTTAAGTATATGTTTCTTCTTTCTTCTTTTTTGACTTCACTTTCCACCCAGCTTGAATCATGATATGACATTGGCAGAATTCAAGTTCATCTGGTACATGGAGTACTCACATCGAATGTGGGGGCGCCTTGTAGGCCTAGCATACATCCTGCCGGCTGCCTACTTTTGGAGAAAGGGCTGGCTCAGCCGTACCATGAAAGGACGTGTTCTTGCTCTCTGTGGCTTGGTCTGCTTCCAGGTAAGAATCATCCGTGGTTGGGAACACCCTTTAGAGTGTCGCAGGTGTCCTTATTTCTAAAGAACTAGTCTTTGATGCCATATAGCAGAATGGGGGAGAACATGGATTTTCATGTCACTGGCCTGACTTCAAGACCAGCTCTGTCTGTACGCAATGATTCCCTGGCCTATAAATGGGGGTAATAATAGTGCCGAGCCTTAAGGGAGTGTGGATATTAAATGAGGCAGTGTATAGTTTATAGAATCTAGTCAGCACCAGATATGAACATAAATATGTCTGTACATGTACCACTGGGATTAGATTATCTTTCTAATCTTGCTGCTCTCGTGTCCTCTCTTCTTTCAACTTGCCTGCTGTATGGGGAGATGGGCCCCTATGCTAGAATGGCTACAGAAACAGACAGGAACACTCGGAAAAAAGAATGACTTGGTGGGTGTAATACAGGAGCTTAGAACACAGAGGTAGTTAAGACATGTTGTTGTTAAGTGCCATCAAGTCAGTTTCAGTTCATAGTGACCCTGTCTAGGGTTTCCGAGGAGTGGCTGGTGAGCTTGAACCGCCAACCTTGAGGTTCAAACCCACGTTGTAGTCCAGCTCGTTAACCCACAGCACCACACCAGTACTCCAAAGTTAAGACATACTGAGGTATACATGATGATTAAAATCACATAGACTTCAACATTAGGTAAAACTGAGGGTCAGGAACAGAAATCAGAGAGAAGACACAAGTATTTGGGTCAAGGTGTAGAGATCCTAGAGCAAGGTTGCAGAGTATTAAACATCAAAGAAACAATTTGATCATCAGGAAGCTAAATGGTAAATTTAACTCAGAAAAAATATGAACCAATTAAGAAGAAAGGATTAAAAAAGATTGGAGAGGAACACAGACAGGTTTGCATGGGCTAAATGGGACAGAGGTAAATGGTGATGCATGCTCAACCTTGGAACAACAGGGCTCTGTGATACAGGGATCGAGGCATAGTCTGAAGAGGGGAAATAATACTAAAATGCTTGACTGTCTTATGAATGTTGGTTTCCCTTGCGTACTAGTGTAAAATAGACAACTTGAGTGGGATAGAAAGGAATGTTGGGACATAATTACAGAAAGCTTGTAAGCCCATCTTCAGCCAGTAACTGATTGGAATACATAAAAGGGGTTCTAGAACTTGCCCAGTGAAATAGCCTTCTTGCAGTCTTTGCAGTGTATAGGACCTTAGGTGAAATCCTGAGCCCCACCCAGAACCTTCTGAAGTGGGATATTCCCACTAGAAAGGACAAGTGGAACAGCTAGAGCAACAGAAGATACATCTTCAAAAAAAGATCAGGAAAAACCCCAAACAAAAATGGCAGTATGATTGGCTACTACAAGAACAAGCAAGTTGTTGGCCAGGATCCCATCAAGGTAAGTAATCAGGTCCATTCAGGACAAACTACCCTCCCAGACTAAAACTCAAAGGGAACACATGAGTAGGCATATAAACTTGGTGCTGGTGACCTTGTTGGTCTACTGGTGAGTAGAAGATGGGGAAAGGCGCAATGAAGAAATGGACTGAGTTCAACCACGGTCCATAGACTCCCGTTGACCTGGAGATAGAAGAGAAGGGCTGATTGGTCCAAAGTGTGGTGAGACCTAGGGACACCTGAGCCAATGGACAAGGACATAGCCACAGAGGGCTAGAGCTGAGAGTGACGCATCCAGCTGATATGAAGTGAAAGGAGGTACACAAGAACACCCAGAGTTGGAGATAGTACCCATTTGTCCTAGCCTCGATGGCTTGATAATCAGAACTTGAGGAAGATTAAGAAAACAATTTTTGATAAACGGAAACAAGTGTACAGTGCTACAATTGGTGAACTTGACCTATACTTATGTATGTAGTAGCTCAGAATACCAACTGACAGGGAAGGAGGCTTCACATCAAGTATCAATCCTATCCCCTCTGCATACAGGGTAGGTAGCGACGGGCAACTAAGACATTGGCTACCAAAAATGAGTGGGCGATAAAGGTACAAAGTGACTGGCTTACAAGTTTTCAAGAAGGAGTTTAGTTTAAGAATGTGCCGGGGAAGATAGAGTCCCCACTGAATAGTTTTCATCTTGTCTAGATGGATTTGGGGAAAAGAGTTGGGGATAAGATACTTATGATTCAATAGTGATTAATTGTTATCATGACTTAATTGTGACTGTTACAACTGTAAAGGTAGAAGTTTTGTAACAAAAACAGGGGAGTAGTTAATCTTACAGTCCAGAAACAGAGGATCCTAGAACCATCAAGGGAGAAGAGCACAAGCGAAATGCGGGACCCTATCCAGAGAAGCAGTAACATCAGAGATGGAAGCAGACATGAGGACATGGAGATAGGGAGCAGCTGAAGACTCTTAGACTAGTGGAAAGAGAGGGACTGAGTGCTGGTGGCCAAAAGGCAGGCTTGCAGAATGTGCCCCTTGGTTGTTTAAATTATATATTCCTGAGTGTTTTTGTATACAACCCCCCCCCCCCCCCAAAAAAAAAAATACAACACAGAGGGAATGGAAGCAAGTACTGTTGAATGATGATGCATGGAGGAGATTGTAATCATTGCAATGAAACGATGATGTAAAGCCGATGTTCTCCCATGTAAACTACCACTCAGTTCACACACAAAAAAACTACCATGAGATGGAAAAAAAAAAAAAAGATTGGAGAAAGACTCATTAATAACTTTGCAATATGCAGATGATACAACCTTGGTTGCTGAAAACGAAAAATACTTAAAATACTTACTGATGGAGATCAAAACCAACAGCATTCAGTATGGGTTGCACCTCAGTGTAAAGAATACAAAAATTCTCACCACTAGATCAATAAATAATATCAAGATAAATGGGAAAAAGATTATAGTTGTTGAAGACTTC